GTTACTGAACCTCTCCACAATGGAGATTTTCCCTGATATGCGAATTTATTTGGCAAACTCGGTCAATGAGTCCTTGAACCTTTTCCTCCAGATTGGGAACTGCCAACGATAGTATGCCACTGACCAGTGCCTTACTTGTAACGTACTAATGTGCAATGAATATGAGTATTTCGACAACACATCTAACATAAGCCTTACCGTCAAGAAGGTGAACTCGCGTTCTTCGCACACTGTAGGCAAGGGCAAAGAGATAAAAATGGATCTAAATCCGAATAAAATCAGCACACGTTTCCGTAAATGAAAGGGTGAGCATAAGCAAATGAATCGAAGGAAACTGGTCAACTCAGAGATCACCTGTCATTGAGTATTCCGTAAAAGGAGGCCTCGGCAGCGGAAAAGCTAAATTTAGAAAGGAGATCCTGTCAGCTTTTCCATTATTTATTGCATTCCGCCCAAAATCAGCACACTTTTCGTAAATGAAAGAGTCAACACAAGCAAATGAATCAAAGGGAACTGGTCAACTCACCTGTCATTGAGTAATATTTCGCGAAAGGAGGTCTCAGCAGCGCCGAAACGAAATAAGCCAGGCCAGGAGACGAAATATCGGTAACAGCTCATGCAAGAAGCAGTTCCAAAGAAGGAAGTTCCTCTTGCATGCACATCCGAAAAGGCAACAACAAAAAGTCTGCAATGCACACGCATGCGACCAGCCGGCCGCGCGATGGTAGGAGCCATGGAGTTGCTCCCTGGTCCAGGACCAGGTACCGAGCATCTTACGTAGAAAATTACGTAGCTACGTAGACGTGTCTGAATAGCGGTGTCGTTAGGTAGCGCCATGTGACAATAATAGAAAAGCTGACAGGATCGCTTTTCTAAATACCATGGTAGTACAGTAGTACCCAGGGAGCCCTACACATTTAGAAAAGCGATCCTGTCAGCTTTTCTATTATTGTGTTCACATGGCAGAAAAAACGACACCGCTATGCTACGTAAGTTTCTACGTAAGGTGCTCGGTACTTCACTTAGGCTACGTAAGTTTCTACGTAAGGTGCTCGGTAGATCTACCAAAAACGGCAACGGGTGGTAGCCGCGTGCTGTGCACGTGCACGGCAGACATTGTGTTGCATGCCGTGCAGTCCGTTTTCGGATGTGCATGCGCGAGGAACTTCCTTCTTTGGAACTGCTTCTTGCATGAGCTGTTTCGGATATTTCGTGTCCTGGCTTATTTCGCTTCGGCTCTGCTGAGACCTCTTTTCACGGAATATTACTCAATGACAGGTGAGTTGACCAGTTCCCTTTGATTCATTTGCTTGTGTTGACTCTTTCATTTACGAAAAGTGTGCTGATTTTAGGTGGAATACAATAAAATAATAATGGAAAAGCTGACAGGATCTCTTTTCTAAATTTAGCTTTTCTGCTGTCGAGGCCTCCTTTTACGGAATACTCAATGACAGGTGATCTCTGAGTTGACCAGTTTCCTTCAAATCATTTGCTTATGCTCACCCTTTCATTTACGGAAACGTGTGCTGATTTTATTCGGATTTAATAGATCCATTCGTATCTCTTTGCACTTGCCAACAGTGTGCGAAGAACGCGAGTTCACCTTCTTGACGGTAAGGCTTAGATGTGTTGTCGAAATACTCATGTTCATTGTACATTGGTACGTTACAAGTAAGGCACTGGTCATGATTGCTTCCGGCATTCCGTGCTCCGATCATGGGGTAGAATCTGAATTTTGCAGTGGCATAGCATCGTTGGCAGTTCCCAATCTGGAGGCGAAGGTTCAAGGACGCATTGGCCGAGTACTAACGTTAGTATGCAAAATAAATTCGCATATCAGGGAAAATCTCCATTATGGAGAGGTTCATGCATTCAGTGACTTGTTTGCTTCATACGAAACAAGCCAATGGGTGCAGTCTCGTGAAAATCTCGTACGATTGGATTTGTTTACTCGAGTCTGGGCTGTTTGATTTGTGAGTACCGCCGAGATTGCACTAAATAAAGTTGCGTGCCGGTAGAGCAAGAATTACGATCTGCAATCTGTTTGTTGTACCTGCAAGAATGTGCTGTACATGTATCGTATTTTCTCTGTTGTTGTTTCAGTTGCCGTCATGTTGCTAAAGAAAGGTTCAGTGACTCATTTGTTTCATAAAAGACGAGTCAATGGTTTGGTCTGGCTTAGAATCTTTCGCTGTAGAAGAAATCTATTCGTGTCTCTATTGCAGTATTGGAGAAATAATTGTATTCACTCGTTATAAAAATAGGGTTAAGACAAACTCACAGAGAAAATGCCATCGGTCCCTTGATGTTCGTCCTAAAGAGGTTTGACTGGATATCATTCATACTCCCCCAAAGTCGTGTAACATGTTATTATTATGGAGTGCCTTGTTTATCTCTCAGTACCTCCAACCATATATCCTTGCCCCTTATATCCTCAGGATCAGTGTAGTTGTTGGAACGAGGTGTCGGACTCAGCAATGTATTTGTTTACATTTTAATACATGTTTATTGTTCCTACTTTGCTGTGTTGTTTTAGATAATCGTGGACTTGTAACACTTTGAAGTCATTGAACTGCTTCCAAAAGTTTTACCGACATCAACAGGATTACGATTTCACTACAATATGATGCCGGATGACCTTATCACGACAACCCATGACTACAATTATAAACACAGAATCAACAAAAACATCTGCGGCGCGCACCTGGTTACAATTCTCATGTAAATGTGATTTAGGGTGTGGACATCTGAATTTTCTGAAAGACAAGACAATTTTATGACAGAGTCATGGAATTCTGCAACATCCACAGAATGACCTGCGTATAAAAAAAAATATCACCGCCACTACTCATATGATTCCCCTGCAGAAGAACATGAATACATGTATGCAAGACTAGTTCCATTTTCTGCAAGAAAAGGCTTGCACATCAATGCGTATAATACGGTATTGAAATTGATAATGATACACGTACATGGACATAGCCATAGGGGCTCCCGTAAGAAGACCATAGGTCTGTGCGAAACACCCTAGTAAAATAAAATAATAATAATAACATGTAGAGTCGCTACATGTAGGCCACCATTTAGGGCATTCAATTGGTGACACAATTATAGGTTCTGATCGGTGGAATATGCTGCCTTTCACTGTTCGCTCTTGTACAGATTATCGCCCATTTGTTCGTTCATGCTTAACCTTTCTAGGGGCTCCCGTAAGAAGACCATAGGTCTGTGGGAAACACCCTAGTAAAATAAATAAAATAAAAATAATACCGGTAATATCCTTTAGCCAAAAAACAAAAGAAATTATAGCAATAAAAACTGCTTTATGGCAGTTTTCTAAAAAAGGTTATTGTGTTCTAGTCCATGAATCCCGTCTAAAAAGTAAGAAATTAACGAAATGTGATAGCCGAAAATTAAAATTTCACACAAAACCTCACAATAATCACACACAGGATGCGAGACGACCTTTTCCCCTCGTGGTCCTCTTTCACATGCAAGCATGTTGGCGCAGTACATGTACTTGTACAAGTACAAGTGTCGGAATAAACAAGTGTTGAAAGCCGTACTATTAGATCTTCAAGTGTCGTGATTATTGTGAGGTTTTGTGTGAAATTATAATTTTCGGCTATCACATTTCGTTAATTTCTTACTTTTTAGACGGGATTCATGGACTAGAACACAATAACCTTTTTTAGAAAACTGCCATAAAGCAGTTTTTATTGCTATAATATGTGTAGGGCTCCCTGGGTACTACCTGCGTGTAGCTACTACAGTGTCAGTGGTCCCTCTATAATCCGGCACCATTTGTGCCACGGAAATTCTGCTGGATTAGGGAGGGTGCTGGATTAAAAAATCGGATTTACTGCTACCATGTGCATGAAGTCTTTTGAAGAGGACATTTTGGCTACTGAAAATTGTGCTGGTTTATCGAGGGTGCTGGATTATAAAGTGCTGGTTTATCGAGGGTGCTGGTTTATAAACTTAAAAGTGCTGGATTTAAGAGGCATGACTGTAGTAGGTATTTCGCTGCATATGTGACTCGCAAAACACTGTTTGTGCGTGCGACGAGTGGCGGTGCCTCGGCCAACTCATATCACCTAGTACCTCCGGGATGTGCGAGTATGAACAACACTCGCCATGAACACAGATTTGCAACATTACTACAGTCTAGAGACGCTTGTGTAAAGAGTGCCGGAGCATTGGACCGATTGGTTTTTGGTTTGTCTACAGTACTGTCGGGCGCCGAGGAACGGAACGCCCAAGAACGGCCAGACTAGAATTTCATCAAACATAGCATACCAGTGTCTACACGGTGACTCAACTGAGCATAGACTGTACTACATGAAAATAAGAATGGTCTAGGCTAGGCGGCTGACCCCCCAGTTCTTCGGGGACCGACAGCAATGTCCTGTCCTGCTGCACGACCAAAAAGAAAACACATGCCATGGTCAAGTCTCCTTTCTCGCCTTCTCCAGTTTCCAGATATCTCTGCTCTGATCATTGATCACACGGCAAAACGCAACACGTGGAACTCCAGCAACAGGCGCATTCTCCCGATATCGTCGCTAAAATATGGGGATACCAGTATGGAAAGTTGTACCCATTGCGGGATCGGGAGGCTCATGTTGATCAGTTCAATGTTGGTATTTTTTCAGGGAGTCGTAAAATACGACTCCCTGGTATTTTTCAAATACGGTTCACACTATAAATGGACTTCAGGAAGGCAAAAGAAATGCGGCACCTGACAAAATGCCATGACATGTGCAAGCGCGATACAGTACACCATGGTACCAAGAGTACGTACTCTTGATGGTACCAAGAGTACATAACATGGTGCACGGTTCACTACATTTTATCAGCCAACAACGATGCGATTCTCTTGTAACAGTACAAGCATCGCGTACACCTGTCCTATGGACAGCTTGGCGCATGGCGCACGGCGTACAGTATTACACAACTAGTACTCATGGCGACAACCAAGTACATGTACCCGCGAGCACCACCTGAATACCTGCTGTTCTGGATGGATTTTTCACTTTTCTTCCTGTTTCAGCACTGTCTGCAGGTTGTGTAGTGGTCAGTTGTGATACGTAGGTTTCTCCACCTTGTGGAGTCGTGGTCGTTTTGGTTTCTCGACCAGCAAGCGACCTGAAGAAGATATCGGATAGCCAGTGACCGCAGCACATGCACAATGGCTTATTTGGCAACTCGCGGCAGTCGCCATTCTTTTCCGTCATGTGAGTCTAGTCCATGTATGTTTTATAACGTTCGCTGGAGTATGATTGCGTAATTTTACTTGGCACGTATGGCGCGGATAGAAAGCTGGCCTGTGGATAGTATATGTTATCATTTTGTTTTTCAATGAGGCTACCTCTACAGGTCTTGGGAAGTTGGAAATTTTGATGTTTTGACTCAAGTTGTTCACCTCTCATCTGATTGCAAGAAACACGTGGTGCTGTGTACGAATTCCTAGTAATAAAAATTTAAATCGGCTTTTGCACATGCAGAGTAGCCATGGCCCAAATTTGCTCGGCCTACATCGATACTTTGCCGCACAATTTTGCCACAAAATTTTCGATATTCTGCTTGGCATTTCCTTTCTCCGTCGGTATTTTGCTTTGGTTTTGCTCGAGATGAAATGAGTTTTCGGGAAAACTCAACGATAATTGTCGCTGATGACGACGATATTTTTGATTGAGCTCCTGCTGCTGCACACCTTTCAACTGAAATGTAGCCATGAGTCTGTTTTCTACAACTTTTGTGCTTGTTTTCAACCTTGGTGACTGATTGTGTTGAGGAAGTGCCTAAGAAGCCTTGGATTTTTCAAAAAGCCCACCAAAACTCGATATTTTGCTCAAAGAATTGCTAGCAAATTTGGGCTATGACTAATGCAGAGCTAGAGTTTGCTGCTGTACGAAGTCCCGTAGTAGTGCCCACTGCCCATAATAGGCTGTTTGTTCACTGTGTGCTGTGCATGTAATCAAGAGATCACAAGAATGGCAAACTCCTGATACTGTAAAGACATGTTATTATAACGAGTCGCAAATTTAACGATTGTCCAAAACTCATAGGTTAACGAGAAGATATTATGATAACAATCTGGCAGTATTTCGGCATATCCACACACGACATAATTAAGCAGTATGGCCTCAATGAATCTTATTATAACAAAGAAATGTCATCCGTTAAACCGTTAGATTTACTTCCTCGTTATATATACATGTCTTACAGTACTCTTTCTGTGCGGTTCGCCGACAGCGAAAACTCACATCACGTCGTGTAGTATGCCAGTTGTACGTTTCCAGCCCGTTTTTAGCGAGCACCGGAGTAATAAAAAAAGCACTCTCTGGCAGAAACTCACTGCGCGTATGCAAATCCCCAGCATGATCCTGGGGATTCCAGGCAGATATTCGGATTGCGCGCACGCTATCCTTCGTTTGTACGTAGTACGAAACATGTGATGTGAGTTTTCACCGTCGAACACCCCATATGCAGAGTTGCACACTCTTGGGGGGTTATAATAGAGAGGTTCTGCAAAACGAAAATGTGTACGAACTTTCGCTCCACGTCACGAAGTGAGAAACTTCGCACGAACTTTCGCAATTTTGGACGCGAAACTTGCAGGGAACGCGAAATGAACTTTCGTAGGAAGTTTCGTGAGATTGGGTCATGTCGTACGTGCACTTGGCGCGTGCAAACTACGAAAATGTGCAGAACACAAAGTTCGTGCGAAAATTCGTGCACATTTTCGCAAGGCCTGGCGCGAAACTTCGTTCGAATTTTCGTTGTGCAGAACCTCTCTACTACTCTTGATATGACCATACCCAGTTGTGTATTTACTGTGTACTGTGTATGCACATTTGATCTAACATGTATTTCGTGCAATAATCCACGGACCACAGCCAACTTCATCACTTCGATTTGAGCTAATGGCTGTAGCTAGATCGTCTTCCCTACTCAGTTCCGTATAAAATCCTCCCAGGTTCCTTCGTAATTTCATTCTCAACCCGTCACCACCATGCGCTCTTAGCAAGGAATAGACATCCTTAGCAAAAAACGTTATGTTGCAACGCTATTACCATATAAAGGGGGAAAATACCGTGATTTGGTTTCGACCTTTAGCAAGCTATTTTTAGTACGCTGTTGCCACGAGAATAGCTTTTATTCTCGTAGCTATGCAGAAGACGTTAGGGAGCATCTCATAAGTTCGCATTTTGTTTCTAAACGTAACGCATTTCGAAACGGGGGTAGGGGGGTAGCGCCCTTTTCGAATAGAAAAATGACTGTTCGCACATTTTCTGGAACTGTACGTACAATCTGCTACCATGCTAGATCCCTGCAGCAAATGAGTGTGTTTAGGTGGAGATCTATCTGTGTTTGCAGATCAGCTAACCCTTGCACTGCATCAGGCTACTCAGAGGTGTCAAATGTCACACCAGCCTGATCAAACCGTGTACATGTACCTGGCCAGCGTTTACAGCAGTACAGTTGTTGTGGAGGAACTATGTTTATGTGCGTGTACATGTCATTGATTCTACTTGTACTCAGTAAATGCGGTACTACTGTATGCCATTCACGACCGCTCTAGCAAAACATTCACATCCATGTACATGTACAATCATGTACATAAGCATACCATAGCATGGGGCATGGACGTGTACATGTAGTATACAGTAGATAAACACAGAAAATGTGCGATAAGACTTTCGAATAGAGGGGGGAGGTAGGGGGGTAAAGTCTATTCGAAATGCGTTACGTTTGCAAAATAAATGCGAACTTATGAGATGCTCCCTTACTTCAGTAACGTTTGGCGCTAGCCAGGGTCCACGCAGCTTTAATTTGGTGTTTGTTTGTTTGTGGCGGACAGACCTCCATCTGGCGTTATCTCGTATCTGTCCCGTACCGTACCATACCATCAAACACAGCTGGCCATAAACAGCTGGCCACAATATTCAAATAGGGCTTTCAAATGCAAGATCATAACGTGAAGCAACTTGGAAGAATGAGTATGAATGCAAAGTGTATCGGGGAATACGTGTAGGGTGATTGTGCGGGTTCGAATCCCAGGTTATGCCTTGAAAAAAATAGGAGAATTGAAAAATTTATACCATCCCTATGCTTTTTTGCCTAGGTCATCAAGGTGGTAGACGATGTCGTATTACCCTCTACCGTGCCTGTCCCGTACCGTACCGTAGCATCAAAGACGGCTGGCCACAATATTCAAATAGGGCTTTCAAATGCAAGATCATAACGTGAAGCAACTTGGAAGAATTAGTATGTAAGCGAAGTGTATCGGGGGATGCATGCAGGGCGATAGTGCGGGTTTGAATCCCAGGTTATGCCTTAAAAAAATAGGAGAAATGAAAAAATTACAATACTTTTTTTGCCTAGGTCATCAAGGCAAAAAAGCATAGCGTAGGGCCCTGAGCTTCCAAGATCTCTCGTTTCGCGCGGTACAACCATTTATGTCACCATATACGCGATACAAGATGAAATGCGTACGGACTATGCAATATTTGGCCAAAAAACGTACCGTTTGTCATAACGATTAATCAGCCCCCATTACTTTTTTCGCTTTGCAGCTTCAACGCTATTTGGGTGGTCAAGGTACGAGTACCGTAAAAAAATATCGTTACCGTTGTTTGCTAAGGGTGTCTAGTGTGGTCGAAAGCTCTGCTGCAATATTTCATTGTGAGGTTCCGTAGTGGGAATAGTATTAAAAACTAGTAACGGTCCTGTGCCTTCAAAGCCAATTTGCGTCTACGGGATTCTATGCTGTTTCCTACATATTTGATCCATCACCGAAAAAAATGACCAAGAAGACAGACACAGAGGCAATATGCTTTGGTTCTGCAAGAGTGCACAATGCCTGATTCAGGCAGAGCGGCGTACACAAAGGCACACAATGAAAACCTTGGCAATCGTTGTCTGATGATTGGTTCAGCCATGAAACTCTGAGTCACAACGGAACAAATCTGCAAAGGTTTTCATTGTGTGCCTTTGTGCAAGAAGAAGACAACGAGAGAGCTTGGAAGCTCAGGGCCCTACGCTATGCTTTTTTGCCTTGATGACCTAGACAAAAAAAAGCATAGGGATGTTATAAATTCTTTAAAAAAATCCTTTTTTTTTTAGACATAACCTGGGATTCGAACCCGCACTATCGCACGCCCTGCATGCATCCCCCGATACACTTCGCATACATACTAATTCTTCCAAGTTGTTTCACATTGTGATCTTGCATTTGAAAGCCCTATTTGAATATGCATTGTGGCCAGCCGTCTTTGATGGCACGGTACGGTAGGGGATAGGTACGGGACAGGTACGATCGAGGGTAATACGACACCGTCTCCCGTACCGTACAGTACCATCAAACACAGCTGGTCACATACAGCTGTCCGCAATATTCAAATAGGGCTTTCAAACGCAAGATAATAACGTGAAGCAACTTGGAAGAATGGGTATGAATGCGAAGTGTACGGGGGAATGCATGTAGGGCGATAGTGCGGGTTCGAATCCCGGATATGCCTGAAAAAAAAGGAGAATTGAAAAATTTATAACATCCTATGTTTTTTTGCCGTCAGATACGGATAGCGCCAGGCGTGACACAAACAAACAAACAAACACACAAACAAACACATACCAAATTAAAGCTGTGTGGACCCTGGCTAGCGCCAGACGTTACTGAAGTAATGTCTTCTGCATAGCTACGGGAATAATTTGTTTTGCCAACTCGCTCTGCTGTGGAATGCTGTCCCCAGCGAGGTCCGTATCATCTCCCAGCTACCTGAATGTAGAGGCAGAACATTTCGTCCATCAGAAATCTCGTCCAACTCCTAAGAAAGGGAGTTCGTCCGGTTGAACATTTCGTCCGTGTATCATAATAGTGTATAGAAAAGCTGGACGAATTGACATTAGTCCGGCACTTAGTTTAGTCCAAAAGTTCTTTGGACGAAAAAGGCGAAATAATATTCCAGACAAATATTTCTGCTTATACAGTAAATGATTAATTTTAGATCACCTTGGAATACTGCTAGTTGGAAAAGGCTCATTTGTAGAACACACCTTACCACCAGGAACGCCACAGTATGCCTATTTGCCTATGGAATAGGCATTTCATCCACAGGGGCAAACACATTTTGCCAGCACTGATGGAGTTTGCATGTCTCTGTGTGTGTCTGTTTTACTGTGTGTGTGTGTGTGTGTATGTGTGTGTGTGTGTCTTCACGCATGCATGCTTGTGGATATGTGTGTGGGCATGTGGGGTGACCACTTTTTTTGCGTTCGCCTGTGCATGTGCACGTACGTCTGTCTTGCAAGCAGCGTGGAAATGTTGCCTTCGGTTGGCAATGCTAATTTGTGTCATTACACCTGCGCGTGTACAATCACGCTGCATGGCAATTGACAGAACCAGGCCGAGTGACTCTAAGCTACTGTCAAGTTATGTCTGTGAACGCAAACCTGAATTTACACCATCGATTATTCTAGATGGCGAACGAGACTCGTATGAACTATTGTAAGTTGGAAAAAATACATTTTGAAAAATATGGTAAAGAAAAAATGACCAAGAAACTACAAGTTACACTATAGTGTCCACTAACACCACCAGTTACTAAACAATCAGCTCATGCGATAACATTGCACGACACTGACCGACGGTACTGACGTTCTACATCTAACTGGCTAACAGCTCTAGCACATCTTGGATGCGCACTCCCATATCCTTCCAGCTTGGAAGGTTTTAAGTTATAGAAATAACATAAGGAGGGGAAGGTAAGTGCAACCAAGATAAGCTGAGATTTTCGCATCTTTTTCAGCCACACAAGTTGTGTAGAATGTTGCTTTGCATCCTTGAATCGTGGTTTGACCGTATTGTCCAATGGTCTTGCCAGTATCGCCATCGACATGCATGAACATCCGCCAACGTCCTTCACAGCTGAGACTTTCAGCTCGTGCTTATCTTGGTTGCACTCACCTTCCCCTCCATATGTTATTTCTATAACTTAGAACCTTCCAAGTTGGAAGGATATGGGAGTGCGCATCCAAGATGTGCTAGAGCTGTTAGCCAGTTAGATGTAGAACGTCAGTACCGTCGGTCAGTGTCGTGCAATGTTATCGCATGAGCTGATTGTTTAGTAACTGGTGGTGTTAGTGGACACTATAGTGTAACTTGTAGTTTCTTGGTCATTTTTTCTTTACTATAAATAATTATTTATCCTTGGTTCTCCATCCCAGTCTATTAAAAGCATTTCTTCATATATCGCTCATATACACAATGGTGCCAGGTACTGGGGGGGGGGGGGGGGGGGGGCGAGGGGTTGGGTGGGAATGCCAAAGCCCGCCATAAATATACTAACATATTTGCCCATGACATTGGTTGTTTCTACTCGGAACACATGCTTCCTGCCGAGCTTGCAACTTGACTGACTCATGACTGCCCTCCAGAGAGAAACCATCGCCCTTTCCACTCGGCAAACCCGCAAAGGGACAGCTCAAGCTAGACGGCCAGCCAGAAGAAGAGAAAAAAGAGAGAAGAAAGAGGATAGAAAGTACAGAAAAGGAAGGGGTTGGATTGTAGAAAATATACTAAGTCTAGTCTAAAGGCCTATTGTTCGGTATCCTCGTAGCTTCTGATCAATGGTTTTGCCTTCATGCACATGTCTTCCATAGCAAGGCTTGGTGTATGCAACCTGTCTGCAAGCTTGCACCATTCCCAACCAATCCTGATTTTCAGGAGTCAAACATTTCTCATCCTTGCACATTGCAGCAAAGAATCATATTTTGGCATCCCTACCCTTCAGTTTGTCGTGCCATGTTTTAGGAGTACTGAGTACCTGCTTTGGTGTTTGGTTGGTCTATTTTAATCGGCACAATAATATGGGAACTAGGCCCAATGATATGAGCAAGAGAGAAATACGCTCCCATAGCTTGTATGCGTTTGATATAAGGCCATGGTACAAAAAATTGATTCTCAGGTCATGAGCCTGTGAAAATCGGTGCGAGCGAGCGATTTTTTATTTTATTTCCCACAAATTTTTTTATTTCCAAAGATAGGGTCACACATATGTACGGCACAGGTTCATATGATTATTCCCGTAGCTATGCAGAAGACGTTACTTCAGTAACGTCTGGCGCTAGATAGGGTCCACACAGCTTTAATTTGGTGTTTGTGTGTTTGTGTCACGCCTGGTGCTATCCCGTATCTGTCGTGTACCGTACCGTACCATCAAACACAGCTGGCCACATACAGCTGGCCGCACTATTCAAATAGGGCTTTCAAACGCAAGATCATAACGTGAAGCAACTTGGAAGAATGAGTATGAATGCGAAGTGTATGGGGGAATGCATGTAGGGCGATAGTGCGGGTTCGAATCCCAGGTAATGCCTGAAAAAAATAGGAGAATTGAAAAATTTATAACATCCCTATTCTTTTTTTGCCGTCATCAAGGCGTAGATGGTGTCGTATTACCCTCCACCGTACCTGTCCCATACCTGTCCCGTACCGTACAATCAAAGACGGCTGGCCACAATGCATATTCAAATAGGGCTTTCAAATACAAGATCATAACGTGAAGCAACTTGGAAGAATTAGTATGTATGCAAAGTGTATCGGGGGATGCATGCAGGGCGATAGTGCGGGTTCGAATCCCAGAATTTATAGCATCCCTATGCTTTTTTGTCTAAGTCATCAAGGCAAAAAAAGCATAGCGTAGGGCCGTGAGCTTCCAAGCTCTCTCGTTTTATTCCCGTAGCTATGCAGAAGACGTTACTTCAGTAACGTCTGGCGCTAGCCAGGGTCCACACAGCTTTAATTTGGTGTTTGTTTGTGTGTGTGTTTGTGTCACGCCTGGCGCTATCCCGTATCTGTCCCGTACCGTACCGTACCATCAAACACAGCTGGCCACATACAGCTGGCCGAAATATTCAAATAAGGCTTTCAAACGCAAGATCATAACGTGAAGCAACTTGGAAGAATGAGTATGAATGCGAAGTGTATGGGGGAATGCATGTAGGGCGATAGTGCGGGTTCCCAATCCCAGGTTATGCCTGAAAAATAGGAGAATTGAAAAATTTATAACATCCTTATGCTTTTTTTGCCTAGGGCATCAAGGCGGTAGACGGTGTCGTATTACCCTCGACCGTACCTGTCCTGTACCTGTCCCGTACCGTACCATCAAAGACGGCTGGCCTCAATGCATATTCAAATAGGGCTTTCAAATGCAAGATCATAACGTGAAGCAACATGGAAGAAATAGTATGTATGCGAAGTGTATCGGGGGTGCATGCAGGGCGATAGTGCGGGTTCGAATCCCAGGTTATGTCTTTAAAAAAAAGGAGAAATGTATAAGAATAAATAAGTAACATCTCTATGCTTTTTTTTCTAGGTCATCAAGGCAAAAAAGTATAGCGTAGGGCCCTGAGCTTCCAAGCTCTCTCGTTATTCAGGCCAGGGAGTAGAAAAATACCGGTATTTTACTACTCCCTGATTCATGCCTTTCGCATTGACCGTTTTCATGCGTGCATAGGCATGCATAGAAATAAAAAAATCGTCGGTACGCCGCCAAAAATCGGTGCGCGCGTACTTGAGAATCAAAGACAATTTTTACCATGGCCTAAAGGCGAATGGAAAAGCCCCATTTAGAAATGAAAGGACAGGAATTTGTGGAGGCTGCAGATTATTACGAAAGGAAGAGGATCTAGATCTGACAGGGGCACTGCTATCTTTTTCTTTACTACAGGCACATATCACGCAATGATCTCGGCGATATTGACCCCAGTTACTGGACGTTATTCACAAACTTGGTATCATTGTAAGTTGAGGATTCTATTCCTATTAACCCTTCAGAGGTCGAAATCTGTTCAGGATCTTTCGTCAAATTTGATACGCCTTTAAAAATATCAAATATCTGAAGAACCATTCCCAATTCTTATCACAGCACCAATATTTTCCGAATGAGAGGATAAAAGAGAATTTGAAACTCGGATGTTGAGCCATAAATAAATGTAGAAGAGAAAAGGACATATGGACACGAGTTAAGAGTAACTCTCCATCACTGTAACATGATACTATATACAGTCAGAAAGTGCAATAACTAGGCACAAAACTAGGCACAAACTGACTGTATATAGTATCATGTTACAGTGATGGAGAGTTACTCTTAACTAGTATCCATATGTCCTTTTCTCTTCTATAAAAGAGAATCCAATAAGAAAAGCCAGAGCTCAATCGGACATTTTGACATTGCAAACCCTGGCTCTACAGGTACGGAATGCGTGCAAAATGCCCACCACAAGAACAGTTTTCATATCCCTTTTCTTTCTAAATAATGGTTCCGTCCCCTCCTTCCCCTCTTCGGCCACACTGTCAGCCTCCCAGATTCCTTTGTGTTGCTCAGCGGGAAAGTCACTGAGCCACGGTAGTATTGTGATATGACTTCACTCACGCCACCTGTCCATGAACAACAACACCGAGCTGAACTTTGAGCACGGTATTGTACCGGCCTTGTAACCAAAGTAGTGTGATGTGGCGCTGCGTCCTCCCTGAGAGTGTTGGGCTGGACCCACTTTCGTTCTCAACACGGCTGATCACACAGCATGGGGCTGTATTCCCAAAACAAGCAAAACAGAACAACAAACACTTTCTAACGCTGAAAGTGTAACTATGTAGTGCGACGTTCGGCTTGTCAACATGACAATACCTTCGTAGTGTGAGCTGCAAACGCAATGTTTTCCATGATTATGGCAAGTAAACTTTCGCCCTACCCGCTTTTAACTCTTGTCGCAAGGCTGGTCATTTGTTAGTCCTTCCTGGGTCAAGATACTAGTACTGCTCACAAGCCGAACAATCACGAAGGTCGTATTCACTACAAAACAACTGTAGCTGGTTCTGACCTGACAACAAAAACCCTCTGTCTGGCCACGTCATCTGCTCAAGCAATATATATGCACTTCGAGTAAATATATGCACCACTGAACATACATCCCTTGCAGGCTTCGACTTGATGCCTGCACCCATCGCGAACCTAATGTAGCAGTCTACGATGTTGCACACATACTCAAAGCCACGTATGGAAGGCAACCTCTTCAAATCCATCTGCCATGGCGAATTTAGGTACGTGGTCAAGATGGATCGGCGGGCCAACGCCATTTTCGGCAGGGGAGCCTGGCGTTCACATGCCATACATTTAACGTGTTCCTTATAAAGAGCGATGATGTTCTCACGGACCACCGGGTAGCAGTGGCAACGCAGGGTGCCGTAACAAGTTTCGGCATGCCTGTTGTGGTCTCGCTGGTGTGCCATCTGCAGCAACTCCACGAGCCTTTCTCGCAACACACAAAGGCGATGCTTTTCATTCAGTTCTGTGGACTTATAGAACAGTGCGTTCTCTTCCAGGTCAAATAAGTATATATCGCAATACCTTTGAACTTGCGACTCCGTCACGATCAGGGATGTGTTGGTCTTGATTTCGACAGAAATCTTCCTTTTCTACCATTTGGGGTTCTTCGCCTTTATTTGGCATGCCGGCGTGGTTTCTGCCATCACGCTCCAAAAGCGGTCTGCACCACGATCTTTGGTTTTGGAAACGGCTGTGGCCTTCGTACCGATCCTTATACCACCAGCCTTTACATGCATGTCATCTGCCATCACGACACTGCCTGCCATTCCATTGGAAAAGGAAATATCGAAGTGGACACAACATGACAAGGAGAACTTCGTGGTGGATGACCCTGAGCCATGCTGCGCATGCCTATACCTCCTAGAAAGTCATAATATTGGAGCTTGATATTGTGATCGCTCAAAGGAAAAAGTCGTGTACTCTTTGTGACTGGTCATCGAGACAAAAACCAGTCCGTGACTCAGTGACAGTTTGTTACTGCTCACCGGGTGTTTGTGACTGGATGATTGGTCACGGGGACCGTGATTGGTGTTACGGAATCACAGCCATTCCGTTCCCCGGGACGCAGGACACAAAGAACAAGACTAGTTCGTGTTTTACATTATATATTTGACGTTACGGAAATGGAAACTATACTCAAGGGGACGAACAAGAAGTCTGACAAAAGAACTCTCGACTACAAAATCGCGCATGCTCATATCACACATGCACGCGACTAGACGAGACAGTTTGGGGAAGGCCATCACACAGGAAAACAACACATCATTTCATAACATTGGTCACTGAGACGTGATTGGTCACTGAGACGCGATCGGTCACTGAGTCCCACATAAACATAATAATTTATTACAGGACAACAAGGACAATCAAAGCTTGTTTGCTGCTACTCTAAGTTTCATGCTCAGTAGCAGAAAACAAGCCTTCATTGTCCTTGTTCTTCCGTTGTGTATTACGCTCTGCCTTTGTGATGTTGAGCGCTGTCAGCACTCTGGGTACAACATCGAGTCCTTCGGTAATTTATTATAGGCGACGTGTCTGAAGTCCTTGCTGCAAATAGTGCTCAATACCCTAACAAGGGCAGAGCCTACTACATAAGGCAGAACAACAGAGACCAAAAATTTTTCTCGTAACTCAGAGTTTCGTGTTTCAAAAAAAAAACACTCAGCAGACGATAAAACATGCTAACTCGGAGTTACGAGAAAGCTTTTTGGTCTCTGTTGTTCTGCCATGTGTATAATATATATAATATACTTTTTTTACAAGAATAAAACTAGGATGGAGCGCCCATTAGAAAGAACCAATTGTTTTCCATGTAATCAGTATTTTTTCAAACACTAACAATTTAAAGGTGATGAGGTAGCCAGGCAGTCACAGCGGGTTGGTCTAAGACTGTGATTGAGATTATTTACGCGTAGAGTTCTGCTTGGAAACGGGCGAATTTTTCCAACCATGCTGCGACTTATAGTGAATTGGGAACTTATGACCTTGGCACAAGGTAACGGATGCGGCAAAAGGGATTTTGGCTTTTGGCCTCCGGTTGGTGGATCTGATCTATCCTCCCCACTATTTAGGAGCTGCATCTGGCGCCTGATCATCGGGAGGTGGTGTCAGACATACGCGGAAATGTGGTTCATGACCTGCCTTGTATGCGAAAGTATAATTATAAGATTTTTTTTGCTTTCAAACAATTGTAACTTCTAAGCAAGACGCTGGTGGATAAGATTTACCGGGTGTTAGCGGCCGTCGTGAGTTCCCTTCGGGAACGGACACGATAATTTACTTTTTTTCTCTTTTTTTTACGCTGGTGGATCAGAACTGGCAACAGTTTGCTACATTGTTTTCGTAAAGGAACATTATAGCTTCTCGCTTCTTTCCTACGTCTGTTGGCGAGATGCACCATTTTCTAAGCGGATTTTAAACTGCATCCTGTAAGGGCCCGGTCAGACATGCACTCAAAAGTAGCGATTCCGCTGAAGCGACGCCGTAGGAGCGGAAAATACCATGACAACTGCGAAAAGCGGAACTAGCGCTCCAGCGGAAACTCAAATCCGCTGCTTTCAAAATTTTGGGAGCAGCACTCCCGCTTCTGCGGTTTTGCTTCAGCG